CCACCGCATGTTATCGATAATATTTTCATACCTTGCTTTATAACTTTTGGCTGCCAGCGTGATATATTCGAAAAAATGTGTTGTAGTATAAAAGCTCCGTCGAAATTTTTCATGTTGTGTGCAATGGCTGTCACAGCGAAAATCTTTGACATTTTGGCAATGTGTTCCATGAGCTGTGATACAGGCTCATTATTAAAAATGTATTGGCGTTGACCACATACACCACAATTTTCGCTCATATCATCGTTCGACAAGCACTTTTTACATATTTGCTGCGTTACACATAGATTTGGTTCATGCAGAAACAATTTTTCACCAATTTTTTTCTCTTGTCTCGTTTCAAAATCAAAAAAGATGAAAAGAAAATTATTATTTCTACCAAAATGTGCTTCATTGTTGTTACGCGTAACTTTGCAAGGGTGCATGTAGCAATCGTGCCTAATATCCTTATCCTCTTTGCATGTGTTACAAAATTTTTTTCCACACTTGTGAGTACTCTTTTTTTTGTTTTTTGGTGTAATCTCGGCGTGACAAGTACTACAACGCTTTATACGATCGCAAGTCTTGGCTTTTTTATGTTTATTTAAACAAATCTCCCCTTTAAAAACCCTGTTACACATATTACAACTTATTACATTTGGGTCGTCGTTACATGGAGGCGACGTTAGGCAACACGGGCATTTAAACGGACAATTTTTATGGCGTTCTTGCTGGGAATACTTCGTCAGACAATATTCGCAGAAAAATCGCGTTGCGAATGCACCAGTCAAACTTAAAATTACATTATAATGTTGATCTTCCAATAAAAGGTTAATCCTCGGCTTGTTGATATTATAATCCCCTTTAAAATATACCGACGTTCCGTCGCGTTTATTATAAACAACTATTATATAATCTTCTTTAAAGTAATTTTGAAACCGCTGAATTTCAGCGTGTCCGCCCCCATGTGTTATATCAACATTTACTCTTTGACAAAGTGCCTGAGCTAGATTTAGCAAATCTATTTTACCCTTTTTTGTTTTAAATTTCTGTAGCACCTTTCTATTGCAACCGTTAGCCGTATACTCAATAGCAACAATTAGAGACGCCGCTAGGCAAAAATTGTTCACATCCACAACAAAAATGCTGTTTTTTGCGATACAAAATTCTTTAAAATTCACGCACTTACCATCCAGTGCGGAAAATCCTCTACCTAGTGGCATATCAATCACATCTATGCGGATAGTCATCTTATCGTTAGCGAAAAAGCTAGCGTTGCTTTGAATGATAGCGCTAATGATGTCCATCACCACGTCCGCGCTCAGCTGTGATAGTCTTCGAAAAGAAATTCCGGCAGGTTTGTCTGGAAATTCTTCATTTTCGATGACCACTCCAATCATGCTGGTGGGTTGAAATCCACGGGTAATATAATCAAGTAACTCTTGAAACGCATTCTGAAACAAACGTAAATTTTAATATTTATTTATTTATTTTTTTTTGTATAAAATACCTTCAACCAATTTTGTGGTATCTCGTCATCGTTCACATCTTTAAACGAAAATTCCATCCGTCTTGCCGTTAGCCCAAATTTACGTATGAACGCCTCACACTCGCCTTTTTCATTGAAATATTTGTGATCTCCGTTTACTGCGAAATAATAATAGTTATTATTATTAATGATCACTTATTTATTAATGTTATTATATTCTATTACCTGTATCGCTTCTTTCCCCTGCACCTCTTTGAACATCTGATGTTTCACTTTCGTCACCTTCTGTAGCCCCTAAAACGTTCCGTATTATTAGCTGTTATGAATAAATGTTCATTTTCAACATACCTTTTGACCATGTCGATGTCGATACATTTACTACGCTAGCTTCTTCTTCATCGACATCAGTTGATTGCGTTTTGTATGAATTATTATTACTGGTGCTATTGTTCGAAAAAGTCGCATTCACGACAGCCTTATCGCTGGACCAACTAGCATCAGGTGAAGATTGATGGGCAGTAGCAATGCGAGATTCATGCTCTATAAATGAGCGAAATTGGTTTTCCAAGTTATTCTTCTGTTGAATCTCGACATTATTGATGCACCCGTCCTTCTCGGCTTCGAAAATTTCTGTTAAAAAATAATAATATTATTTAGAATTTTTTCTTAAATCAATTAATTAATTAATTTAGGATATCAGCTATTATCAACTTACCCAATTGTCTTATTCTTCCTAACAAAAGACCATATGACTTTCGATCGTTGTTGTCCAAAACCGCATCCTTATATATAATTCGATTATTTATATGATCCCGCACAGTTCGCAGAATTTTCAAATTTTCAAAAAAACCACTCGCGAACATCGTAAATATTTGAACAATCTGCAGGGTTTGCAAAAATTCTTCAAATCCTGTATTCATTTTGCGTTGACACAATCACAACTATCACAAATTAACGTTCACTATCACAAACCGTAGCGGCAGACACAATTTTGTCAAAACTAAAAAAATATAATTCTACAATAGGCAAACAAGGTAATATATAGAAAAAACCAATGAGGGTGGGGTAAAAAAAGTGGTAGGAATCAGATAAACCCTATTGGCATTTATCGAGAGCTAAATGGTACATGCGCCGTTTACCCATGACTCAATACACGGAAATCTGTATCCGAAATAACTGTCGAATTAGTTAAATCGTCTGAAAAACGAAGATGCCAAAAACCGTCGACTTGCCCTTCGCAGATTTGCGGTAATGCACTCCGGCGCCTATTTTCTATTACTCTAGACTGAAAGGTTTTCTTATCATTGCTTGACATCAAATATTTCCGTCTTTGCAAGTCGCGACAGGACTTACAGTGACTGTGTCATCTTAAATTGACGAAAAAATGAAAGATGCCATAAACGTCGACTTGTCCATCGCAGATACTTAAAACTATTTGCGGTAATGCACTCCGGCGCCTATTTTTCTATTACTCTAGACTGAAAGGTTGTCTTATCATTGTATGACAACAAATATACCCGTCTTTGCAAGTCGCGACAGGACTTACAGTCACTGTGCCATCATTTGGGGATCTGACTAAGTGGCTGGGTAGTGAAACATTTCTATGTAAAGTCATTTCTTCAAAAATATTTAAATGTACGGAACAATGTACATTGTCGGCTTAGTTAAATCATCTGGAAAAAGGTACTCACCGACGTCTCAGGCATTTAAAAGGGGTAATGCAATATTGGCGCCTTCTTTGTTAGTATAGACAGAAAACTTATCTTAACTTTACATCATCTACTTCTTTAAGTGCATAAGTAATTGTCTCTGCAAGACCTTAGAGGACTTAACATTCTCTGTGTGATTACCTGCGAGAAGGTATTAGCATAGTGGCGCCCAATGTTACTCACAAAGAAAATTTAACTTTCGGCAAAATTGTAAGACTCGTACCTACCTGTCGTTACCCTATCCCTCCCTTTGTCATCCCTCTGAAAAATTAGTTTTACTTTAAACTTTAGAAAATACAGACGCTCTTATTCATTCAGCTTCGTAGTACCGTGTGTTATTCCTGAGAACGATATGGCCAACAGTAAGTTTTTAAGAATGTAATTTATTCTCATTTCTTATAAGTTTTTTTCTTTTTTTCTAGATCTGTGCATTATATTATTTTCCATCAGGCGGAAGGCCCCGTCTAGAAATGATCTTCGCAAAAGATTTATATGTCGGTTTTGTGCAAAAAACCATAAAGGACCAATGTGGATAGGCCACATCCATACGTTGGCGAAGGTATATTGCGCTAGGTGCAATGTACAAATTGTAACAAGTCGGAGATTCGTTTGCCAAGGTAGACAGCTTGGATTCACGGGCGGTAGATTCAACTACACCCACTTCGTCAGAGAGCGATATTATCCACTATCGGATGAAGAAGACGACGGCGACAGTGGTGTAGAATTGTGATGTGTGTAACTATATGTATGTATGTATATAAATATAATTATTATTATTATTAATATGTAAACCGGCTGTTCGGTAATAAAAATATCTATTTAAATTTAAATTATTTAAATTCTATATCAAGTTAACACTGATCTAATTAAATTTTAATAATGGTATAATTAATTCAATTACGTTCGCGATTAAAAATTAAAGTGGTTAACGACTTCGGAGAGGGAGTACAACAAGAAAATACATGCAGAAACAAGTCTGTGCTTGTAGATGATGACTCGTCTGCAAAAAGTGCGTCGTCGGTATGTCTTTAATAACAAAAAGCTAATGGACAAACATCATAATGAGATGTTGCCGTGGGGCTAGTGATTAATGACTTCGGAGAATGGGTATAACAAGAAAATACATGCAGAAACAAGTCTCTGCTTGTAGATGATGAGTCGCTTGCATAGAGTGCGTCATCATTATTGAGCTATTGGCACGGGCTAATGGTCATTACGATCTAATTTTTAGTTAATAATGCAATCGATCAAAGAATTATCAAAACGCTTCAGATATTAACCCACATCAAATCGTATTATATTCAGAATGAATTAATGATGGTGTAATTAGTATTTTAATCATTGATTCAATTGCGTAATCTTAAAACATTATCGTCTTTATGTACATATGCATGCAACCCGCAATACACAATTAAAAATATATATTTAAATTTAAATTATTTAATTCCGATATCAAATTCATAGTGATCTAATTAAATTTAATAATGATATAATTAATTTAATTACGTTCGCGAATAAAAATTAAATTATGAGTAATCAAAATCCATTAAGATCATTATCTTGATTGACAGCACACGTCAAAAATCCATTAAGATCGTTATCTTGATTGACAGCTGTCAAGATAACGTCACCTGTCAACATGATTTATTACCCCACTAATCCTAGGCACTATCTACTAATATACTAGGTGTTCTAAAAAAATTATCTCACTTGTGTCTTTAAATTCAAAACTGATTTTAAAAGCAACTACGCTCTTGGTTAGATTTTTTTAATAATGTCACACGTAGCAGTAAAATTCTCATCCACTTGTTTTTTTGCAAAAGATGCCACCACAGTCACGTACAGATTACCATCAAACCGTACAAAGTAAATCTCAGCCTCAACTCCAACGTCAATACAGATGGAAAATCGTCTGGAGAAACATATTCTTATACTTACTCATGCACGCCGGAGGTTTATACGGATTTTACCTAATGTTTGGCACCACCCAATGGAAAACAATATTTTACAGTAAGTTTTAGCGTACTAGCACAACTTTACCCATCGTAATCACATCTACATTTTTTTTTTCCCAGGTTGGTTGCTACTAATCCTGGGTCTACTTGGTACTACAGCCGGCAGCCACCGCCTTTGGGCCCATAAAAGCTACAAAGCCACTCTACCCCTCAAAATGATCCTCGTCATTTTCCAGACCTTGAGCCTCCAAAAATACGCCTACGACTGGGCTACCGACCACCGAGTGCACCACAAGTACGTAGATACGGACGCAGACCCCCATAGTTCACGCCGTGGTCTCTTCTTCTCCCACGTGGGGTGGTTGTTCCTAGAACGAGAACCGGAATTTGTGGAAAAGTACAACAAGATGGACTTCAGTGACTTGCACGCAGACAAAGCACTAATGTTCCAAAAGAAGTACATACGACTATTTGTAATATCTCCAAAGACTCAAGTCTCGTTTCAGGTACTACTTTGTGTTTTTCGCACCAGTGGTCGGAATTTTGTTACCAGCGGCGATTCCGTGGCACTTCTGGGGCGAAACGTTCGAGAATGCATTTTTTATAAGTACCATGTTGAGGTACTGCTTGTGTACCAACATCACGTTCCTTATTAATAGTTACGCCCATGTTTATGGTACCAAACCTTATGATAAGTACGTATATGTGTTAGCTAGGACTTGAGAATCTCAAAGATGGTTTTAGAAATATTTGTCCGGTTGAAGTACCGACTCTCACTATTCTAACTGGGGGTGAAGGGTGGCACAACTACCATCATACATTCCCTTGGGATTACAGAACGGGAGAGCTGGGGAAGTACAGATTTAACTTAACCACGAGCTTTTTGGACTTGATGGCAGCCATCGGGTGGGCTTACGATCTTAAAACTGTGTCCAAAGAAATGGTTTTGAGAAGGGCGAAAAGAACAGGAGATGGTAGTAGGGAGTTAGATGAAATAATGGCAAATTCTGGTCATGGTCATCACGACCACGACGAGCAAGTTTGGGGCTGGGGTGATACGGATATGACCCAGGATCATCGCAGCTATGTAGATATTCATAATCGAAAATATGACTAAATTTAAGAAAATTAGAGCAAACGAGGTGAAAGGTGATGGGCGCGATGCAAGAAGTCTCCGATTAACACGAATTTTAAGTTATGGCACATTATGTACCCCTACTAAATCTAGATATCTTTAAGCTAAAAAATAAAGATGTATTTAGGAGTTAGATCTGTCAGAAAAACTTTATTTATTTTTTATGTTTTCACCCAATGCAATACCACAGAAAAAAACAGAAGGTTTTATTTATTATATTAAAGCAAAATGAGCACTACTACTAAGTGGCTTGTTCTAAATACGCAATAAGGTCAGCCCTGTCCTGCGGTTTTTTTAAACCGGCAAACACCATTTTCGTCCCCGGAATGTACTTCTTCGGATCTTCTAAATACTCAAAGAGCGTATCCCGGGTCCATGTAATCCCTACAAAAATCTGTGCGATTACTGTATAGCTTCATCAATTTTTACCTTTGTTTTTGTTGGCGTCAGTGTAGGCGAATCCTACAGCTTGACCCGTTTTCCTTCCCATGATACCGGATAAATTCGGTCCTGTTTTGTGCTTGCCACCTTTTTCAACTGTGTGACACTGAGCACACCGCTGGACGAAGAGTTTTTTTCCGTTTTCGGCATTACCAGATGGTGCACCCATGTTGGAGGAACTTTCTTATCACATTAACGCTAGATCTCCAACTGAAACTTGGTTTTGACGTTTAAATATTGACAGTAGTTCAACGAATGTGTTCAGTGCATGGCGAACTGATAATTTGGAAAAAATCTAATTCAAAATTTTTGTTAGCAAATGTCTGTTTGACGTTCTAAGAAACGATTTAGATGAAAACGTTTAGCAACGAAAAGTGGGGTGATTACAGGTTCATAATAAAAAAAAACACCTGCAGTTTCTTGTCTGAAACCAATGAAAAAATTTTGAGTTTTATTCTACCATTATAACAACCATACCGAGAAGTACCTAAAATTTCAAAATAAATCGTGGCCCAAAGCTCGAGGATTATTTATTTAATAAAATGTTTAACAAACAGCTGACAAACAATCGGAAACGAGAATTTACAGCGTGATCAACAAATACTGTTTGAGTTGGTAATAAAATTAACCAATTTTGAGAAAGCTTTCTTGTGCTGCTTGATCCAAATTGTGGCGCATATATATGTAATTTTAAAGCACCTTAGAAAGCAAAATTTGTTAATAACAATAATAATTGTTGATCACGTTATAGTTATTTTCTATATTTTTAGGTGTGCATTACAATTTTTCATTTATAAATTTAAGCTACAATTGGTTTAGGTAGTTTTATTCTAGGTAATCAGCACTGAACAGTCTTTTAATTTTTGATATATAAATGGGCCAAATATACGTTTATCAAAGTAAATGAGGATTGATAAATTTCATATTAGTTGAACAGAAATCAAAAAACAGATTGTAACGTCAACTTGAAACTAAATCAACATCCGTCAAATTTTAATTTGTTAACACAAAAAATGTCAATTGTGTAAACGTACTCATTAAAACTGCGCTGTCTGCTGTATGAACGTGATTATATGAACTAGGGATTTTACTGAAATCACTAACTCAAGCATCAAACAGTTCATTCCAGTTCATTCATTGACACTCGGCAGCTTTGACAATGTAACCTATTTGTAAACATGTGTTGATGAATTTTTTCGCCCAATTAGACTAATACAAGACATAAAAAATGGGAAAGCTGAACGTAGCAATTATGAGGTACCTCACCAGCGAGGATTTTCGTGTCCTGACAGCGGTAAAACCACTTATCATTACGTTGCATCATCCTAACCTCACTTTTTAGATTGAAATGGGCATGAAAAACCACGAACTAGTTCCAGGGCCTCTAGCAGCATCCATTGCCAGTTTACAGCATGGAGGTGTCCATAAATTACTCCGTGATTTGTGCAAGCACGGTTTACTGAGTTATGAAAGAGGAAAAAAATGTGGGTTACGTAAATTCGAAGAAGTGTTGATTTCATTTCTTATTGTTTTGTAGATGATGGATATCGCCTAACCAATATGGGTTATGACTATTTAGCTCTACATTCTTTAACAAGACGAGAAGTTATTGGATCTTTTGGTAATCAAATTGGCGTTGGAAAAGAAAGTAACATTTACATTGTTGCTAGTTCTGAGGGGGAAGAATTGTGTTTGAAACTACATAGGTGGTGTTTTATTATTGACGTTTTTGTTTTTTTTTAAATCTTGGTTTTTTCAAGATTGGGCCGTGTCTGCTTCCGCAATGTTACAAATAAGAGAGATTATCACAAACACAGGAAATCAGCTTCTTGGTTGTATTTGTCACGAATATCAGCCACTAAAGAATTTGCATACATGAAAGCGTTGTATGACCGAAAATTTCCAGTACCTAAACCTTTAGATTTTAATAGGCATTGTGTCATTATGGAATTAGTGAAAGGAAAACCTTTGTAAGTTATTTTTTGTTGTTTTACTGCTTGTGTAAGTTTTAAAACTTTTAGGTGTCACGTCATGGACTTGGACGACGTTGAGGCTCTTTATGATGAATTAATGAACTTAATTGTACGATTTGCAGACAGTGGCGTTATTCATGGCGATTTTAACGAATTCAATATAATGATTAAAGATGATGAGAAACCAGTTATCATAGATTTTCCCCAGATGGTGTCAACAGCTCATGAAAATGCTGAAATGTACAGTAATTATAATTTTGTGACTATTTAATTTACCCTAATCTTACTTCAGGTTCTTCAATAGAGATGTTAACTGTATTAGGACATTCTTTAAGAAGCGTTTTGACTATGAGAGTGAATTGTACCCCAAATTTAGTGACATTGAAAGGACAGATGCTCTTGATGCTGAAATACTTTGTTCAGGATTTACAAAAGAAATGGCCAGGGACATTAATCTTGAATTAGGTATTGATGTTGAAGTAAAGTCTGACGAAGAACCAGAGGAAAATAATCCTGAAGATACAAAAGAAGAAGTACAAGATTGTTCGGTAGATGAAATTTTTAACAAAATGAAAATCAAGAATGAACATAGCTTTAAACTAGACTCAGATCAAGAATCAAATGACTCTTTTGAGAGATTTGAAAGTGGAAGCGTCAGATCTTCAGCCACAACTATTCCTCCAGAAGAAATCAAAAGCAGAGTCAGGAAACAAATAATGAGCAAAGATAAAAAAATGCAAAGGAAAAAGTGTGTCGCTAAAGGTGAAGCAAGCGCAGTGACGCGAACTAGGAGAGAAAACAATGACACGATTAAGCAGAGCAAGGGTTTGTGGGGTTGGGAAGAATAGTTTATTTTGTTTATAATAAAGTTTTTAACAATGCATTTGTTTTACTGTCAAAAGAAACGTTACAATTAAAAGAAAAATTGTGGGTTGATGCTTGCTCGGGTTGCCTTTATTTAGATTGCACAAATCGGTGTCGCAAATTTTGCATACTTTTCCTAACACTTGGCCAGGTCTGAAGCAACCCTCAATCATGCTGGGACACGTTACGCAGCCCTTGAAGACTGCTAATGATGAGAAATTAATGGGGGTTGTTGACAATGGGGTATTCTTCTTACCGCCACCTTGAGTTATGTGGTAGCACTCGTTTACTTTATCGCCGCATTGTTGTTTGATTGGATTCGAACAGTTTGCTAATACAGGGTGCAAAGATGCTGTAGAAACACATCTGTAGCATTGTAGTCCTGCAACTAAAGGGTTTAAATAGAGAGCAATAATTAAAACTGATTTTATGGTTATCCTCATGTCAAATAATGACAAGTTCATTCAATTAAAAAAAAAAAAACGAAAAAATTTGGTACAAACTACAGAAATTATGACAAAAAAAAATTCAATTGAAAATTTTGGGATGAGTACTCGCTGTGGGTTTAGGTACAGTTGCGTTAGCGATCTATCAGGGTAATGATAACCTCTAGACACGTCGTATTTAGATTTCAGAGCGATGGGCAGTTTCTAAAAAGTACCAGAGGCCCCCCACGGTTTTTTAATTTCTTTCAGAAACAAAACACCAAAGGCATTAACACTCTTTTAAACAAAATCTCATTGTTTTCATCTTGAAACTTGGAAGTTGTAGAATGAATCGTGCGTCAACAGAACTTTTTTTTATCGTTCTTTAGATAACTTCCGAAACTATCCAACAGTAGGCTACTTTAAAATTATCATGTGGATAGTAGACGAACTAATAACCACGATTTAATAAACCATTCCTGCTTTATAGTAATTTATTTTTTTGGTTACCTATTCTAACGAATAAGTATGTGTTGCCTTAATGTTATTTAGACAGGACTTAGTTAAACAAAAATTATAAAATTTGTTTTTTTTTTTCACTCTGGTGAATTTTGTATTAAAGTATTTGATTTCATATTCAGTATTTTCTTTCCTGAAAATTGCGCTAAAATGGCAAAATTTAATCACAGATTACAAAACAACTCTTTAAATTTAATTGCTGAGAACACCATCAAAATCAAAAAATCAGCCTAATAAAATTATGGTTTGCTGTTAATTCTCAAATAAATTGTTCATTCAGCAATTTTGTAACACGATGAAATAATATCGTCTTTCTAAAAATCTGTAAATGTATTTCAGAAACCTTAAAATCTTATATCGAAACTTTTGACTCATTCCAACAACCTACCAAGAGAAGATAAACAGAAAAAGAGCCTGTTGAATTAGGTGGAGGCGGCGGGCCCCCAATCCTTCGCCACTTCTTCGCCAATTAAATCCACTTCTAAATTATTCATCCCACCTACGAACTCCTCGCCCTAATTAATCCCACGCCAAACAAAGAACAAATTCCCGCGCAAATAAACCGAACAACTTAGACCCCGAACTTCCGATCGCATTAATTAATAATAAGTTTGTTAGGACGGTTCGCCCCGCAGCCGGCCTAAATCTGTCCCCGGAAGCCGCCTCCCGGGCGCAAACACAGCCGCCGCTCCGGCACCGCAGAAATAATATTTTCGGTTCCGCTCGAGCGATTTTCTTGCAAATAACCTCAACCTAAACATCGCAAAAGATACACGTCTTCACCTAGGGGAAAATCATCGAGGTGAAATATTTATAGGGTCTCTGTTGAAACAAAACGAGACCTGAATACACAAATCGGGAGACTTTATTCAATTTGCCGACCCTCTGGTCACATACTCGGGAGATTTTCCGAAAATCGGAAGGCTTTGTTCGCCCTAACGAAGCCGGGAAACCCCCTAATGATTTAGCTGTGCGACGCAACATCAAAAGAGGGCTCGAGGAGATGCGGATCTGAAACAAGGAGCTGATCAGCAGGGTACGACGATTTAATTAATTTTTTTGAAGGAGAGATTTTGAATTTAGAATAAATATTTCCTTGGCTTCTTTCCCTGAATGTACGATTGAAAGTTAATTTAATTTAGTACAGGTGTCAGTCCAAATCTAACCTTCGACTGAGTTATGACGAATAAAAACTACGATGCGAATTAGTTCGTGCATTACGGAACCGTAAAATAAATGTCATGTTAGGGTAGCTTTAGGAAACGCGGCCTTACGCTGACGTTTATGGCATTCCGGCGATATCTGCCTTGCTTATTTGCTTCACAAACACCTTCGGTTCGCTTCTTCCAAGTTATATTTTTCGTTGGAAACATTCCGGCGAAAAAATTAATATAGCCCGTGTTTGTATTTAATCAACGTATAATTTTCCGAGCGGTTCGCATCAGAATTCACCCCGACGCGTCCGCCTTCGCTCGGCTCAAAGAAACAACACATGCCGGCGAAAGAAATTAGCAAAGGAACAAAGCTTATGAGAGGAAATGGCAAAAATATAGAGGTTTGAGTGGGAAGCTCGATGAATTATTCATTCGGAAGCTCCGGTTTGAAGTGGAGTTTGGATTTGGCCGTGTATTGACAGAGAGTGAAGAGGAACGCCAATTGCGTGTCGTTTCTTGAATTGCAATAAACAAGAGGACGCTGGGTAGCGGCGAGTTTTTATTGGAAAGCTGAGGGCGAGCGGAGTGTGGCTCAGAGTTGGTGAAATTAGCCGATTAAAGTGTAATTGTGGGGTAGGTTTTGGTTTGAAATTTTACGCGACATGCACATTTTCGACAACATAATAGACAAAGCAGAATGGATAGTCTTACAGTATGTTGTGTTTTTTTTTTAAGTTTTAATCTTTTACATAAACATCTTGAACCTGCACAAAACATACACAACTTGAATTAAAATCGTAAATAAACATTTTATTTTTGTGCATTAAAACGTGCTTTTCTTGAATATTTGAAGATATATTTAGAGTCGAATATGCTTTCAGTGCAAAGACAAAAACCTCACGAAATGTCCGAGTCCTCGCAGAAAATTCCACTTGAAAGCGAAAGCACCGAATCCCCCGCCGCCCCTCGGTACCTCGTATTACGTTATTCCGAAACTTTTAACTACTCCCAACATACCGAAAACTCCTCGAATCCGGGCGATCGCCTCATTGTCCACGTCTGGCATGCGAGTCGATTTTTCTCTCCGTTCGAGATTAATAGAATTTCTTAACCAACTTTTATTGGATCCCTCCGGGAGAAGTTGTCTGAAAAATGTTACGACGTCCTCATCGCGAGACGCGATATTAAAAACATCGAACAGCAAGACGTAATTTATTCATGCAAACTTGTGTTAGACGAGAAACAGTTGGGTGACGAATGCATTTAATAATTCATCTTGCCAGACCGTCGAGGCTTGTTTGCGTTCGCTTCGCAACTCGGCGTTGTGTTAATCAACACTATTAAACATTAAGACGTATCAGTCGAGTAGGAAGCAGCTCGCCCCGCCATTACCCCCACTTAAGCATGCAGAAAGTTGAAAGTGTGGCACAAAGTATGTGTTCGGCTTGCCGGTAATGTAAACCAGAAGAAGGAAATTGGATCGCGAGTCACAAGTAATGCGGAAGCACATTTGCATTTTAAAGTTACAAAGTGGATGCGTCTTTTCGGATTTGCGTCTGTGGCGGGTTTTCGAATTTTGGCGGCGGGGAGGCGGCTTTAGTTGCAGAAGTGGCGGTTGCTACGTATGACAGCTACTTAGGCTCGGATTACATGCACTGACTACAAAATATGTGCATACATATGCACTAAAATGAGGTTAAATGGCACAAGCAAATGCAGAACATAACAAGAAGGTAATTCTGCTTTACAGCTGCAAATATTTCTTTTTTTTTATAATTACCATTCCGGCACATCCACCATTTTTGAGGAGAAATTTAAATTTGTCACGTCTCGGTGCTACAAGGGGTCGTGCTAATCTGAAATTCTCCTAGGTTTACAAATTTAGGCCTACTCTCTAGGTGTACGTAACTGCTACCAATGGAGACAAGCAAGCTTCAAGAAAAAAAAAAAAACGTTTTACAAATTAGCCTCAAAAATCGTCATTTAACTTGATTCAAATCAAATTCTCATTTCATAAATATGTACCTTCTAAATATACTTACTTAATATCCCGGCGCCTCCACCATTTTTAGACTAAAACTTGAAAGTTGTCACATCACTCCCACGAGGGGTTATTTTCTCACAATTATTAATCGATGGGTGCTTTCAAAAACCTGACCATCAAAACTGAGAAACCCAGCACTTCACAAAATTGAACGAAATTTCTCAGTCTAAAGAGCAAAAATCACGTGAAACCAGCGTGTGCTCAACATCGATAACTGACTTAAGTAAAGTATTTTAAATCGATGTCGATTTGTACAAACGCGTTAGAAGAATCAACCCAAAGGAAAATGAAGAAAGTGCAATTGTAATCATCGAACATCCAAACCTAGATTTAATAACCAAAAATTTTAGTGTATACAAAAATAACGTTCTAAGTATACCTGAATAGCTTTTAATAACGGTGGTGCAGTGATGAATCGATGCGTGCTTTCAAAAAATTTTACCGTACAGGTGGTAATGGGCTATTCAAGATTTGTTACTAACGTTATGTACCAAAGGTGATATATGTATTATTCCAAACTTCATAAATTCTCTCTTGAAACAAATTACTTTTATTTTAATATATGAGTTTTATGATAAAATAATGTGTCTAAAGTTCTTTAGACACAACACTATTCATTAAACGAGTGCAGTTTTCAACATACAAAGAGTGTCACAGCAAAAAAGTAACAAAAAGAACATTTAGTAAGTAATCAAAAACCGCTTCGAAAAACACACAATAAAAATCTGCTTCTCTAGATCTGCCTCATTTCCGCCCACACCCTAAGCGCAAACGACATGCAGAAAACCCACTTCCTTATAAAAATTCAAATCAATCAACCCCCGCACCCACGCTGTCTTCCCCATTGTTTTATTTATGTTTATGCCACGAGCTTGCAACTTGTGCAAAGTGAAATGAAATATGACGGTGACACAGACTGACATAGGTCGTAAAGCATGATATACGGGATCATCCGCCCAACGTTGCTCCTGCCATCCACCGAAACGACACAATTTTATCTAAGGTGAAATGAGTGTTCGCATCGCTCAAATAAAAAACCGCCGCCATCGCCCTAAAAAAAACCCTAAAAAATGGCCGGCGAGCGCCCTCGCGCCAATTAACTCAACTAACAAACAGAATAACGAGACTAATGACACAATCGACCGATCACACGTATTCGCTAAAGCGCCCAATTAATTTCGCTGCGGCCGGCGATTTGTCCCCGCTGTATAAATTTCAAATTGTTTTAGTCGTTTTTATGCGAAGCGCACTGGGATCGAAGTGCGCTTCAAGCAAGCTAAACAATTCCGCAGCGCATACTTCGTTTTAGGTCCTTACTACGAAACGCAAAAAGTGCCGCTTTCTGTCGTTACTGTTCCCAACTACAAGTCGAGCTTTTATATTCGTGTCGTTGTTTTGTGCAAAAATCAAACATCCCCCTCGTTGTAATTCATTCAGACTCGATTTCCGCCACAACACTATCGTGAAATAAACAGAACGCATCTTTCGGCGCTCACCTTCATCACGCATCCCGCGTTAGGTCTGCTCTCCCCAGACCCCGACAGCATATTAACAATTTTCTGTGCCAGTTGTTCGCGTCAACACCTATTTAACTTAAATAAAACATATTACCGTGTTCTGTTCGTTTTAAACTAATTTAGAGAGAAAATTATAAATAGCGAGCGAAGGCCCCCCCGTACCTAATCCTCCCGAGACAAAAGAGATGTGGAAGGATGTCATTGCCATGGTAACACCCTGGCATACGCAACCCCGGTGCAGATTTAAATGGTCTGAAGTGAGCGTCGCTCGTGTAACGACTAGGACGAATGCACCGAAATAATACCGAAAAATGTTTACACGCGGACATCCGGCGCGATATTGATCTACTGGGATTCTGCGACATTTAAAATGCCATCAAAAATGCATCTGTCGACGCAACAACGGCTGATTTAGCGGCGTCGAGAGTGACATTAGGCGCAAACGACATGACGAGTATGACGAGAGTGACAGACGGCGCGAGGCGATTAAAATTCAGGGTAGTCGACGGTGCATATGTAGAGCGGAGTCAATAAATCGGTATTTACTCCGCTGCGGCCGTTGCTTTCCTCACTTCTTTGTCAGATAACTAACGGGAAAAAATGGCCTCTCAGCAGTAATAACAAGCTGAAAAAACTTTTGTTGACCACTGTCGTACTCGAACAGTTTCTATCCTCTCCGGTTCTCACGGAAGCAATAAATCCTCCTTTTTACCATTTCTTCTCCGGCACAAATTACCTCTCACACACTTCACTTTCCAGAAACCGTCAAACCAGAACGCGGTGATTAACGCCCCGTCGAAGAGGTGCTAATAAATCGGTGCAAGCCCCAATATTTATAACCCCGCGCACGCTGACGTGAGCCAACGACTCGCCATTATTTCACCTTCCATTTAGCAACATCTGCCGCATATTTCTGCCCATCAATCCCCAGCACGTAATAATGAAAAGCGCCTTCGGCAAATTGATTTTCTATCCGAGTACATAAGGCGAGTGCATCCTGCAAGGAGCCCGCGTAGGCAGGTCGGATGCAGGCAGGTCGCATCTAATAGAAAGCGAGTGTTTACAAATTATTGGCAATTTCGCTCCATCTCTGGGAGTTATTGGATTCACTGAACTTTAATAACTGCCTTGATTTATCGCCGCGAAGACGCTCTTCCGTGTGGCATCGGATAAGGTTCTGATGGAACTCGAGATAAAACTTATCATCTCCCACATCTAACGCAACTGCATCTACATAACATATCGCGGGATATAAGCCCGATGCTAAATCATTTCCCGGCCGGGGCCATATTTCAAACTTCTCAGACGCTATTTGGCTTCGCAGATTATTACGTTTGCTTTAGATATTTATACCTGCGCGGAAAATGATGATATTTACTCGTGGATGTTTGCCCCAGGAGCGGGGAGAATTCAATCATTTCATTTTTAGAGCCGCGGCGTCGGGGGAGGCGAAGCACCGCACCAAGCTAATACCAGACACCAGAGATTCACGTTAAAAGAACTTAAGTAAAATTAAACAAACTATGGACAATCACTGAGAAAAATCAACAAAGCGTAGGCGTTAATTATCATCCCGGTATTTATACACTCTTCGTCTCCACAAAGAAAAAAGAAAAGCCAATGGTGTTCGTTCTTAAATATTTCTAGATTCTCCAAGACGTCTCTTACTTACTTGACTTCTAATATTCCCAACCGCTTTGTTTCAAAATGGCAGCACTCCGCAGCGCCAAAGGCCTTTTTAACGGGACTATCTTTAACGATTTTTCTTTTTTCGTGCCGGTCCGGCTTCGTACGTCATAATTTCGTTTTAATCGCATCACCCGACTCTTTGGTGTTCACTTCAAAGCCGCCAGAAGAAAATTAAAAAGCTTTGTGTTGATTAATTCGCCACACAAAGAAAGTATTAGTTGGACGCAGTAAATAAAAAAAGTGCTAAGGTTTCAGTTAATTTATTATGGTTTTAGCAAAGTTTCATTGGTCGTTTCAGCTGGCATAAAACAGTAGCGCAAAAGCATTGCACAGAGAAATGTTGCGAGTAAATCCTGATGTTTCCTGGCGGTCGTCCAATGTCATAAAGTTCATGATTTTTTCAGATTCGACGGTCTTGCTGTGCGTCGCTAGCCGGTGACAACGTGCTAGGTTTTATGGCACTGTTGTAATGTGATGAGAAGTGTTTCGGTTTTGACAAGGAGATGCGCATATGATGGGAAATATATTAAAATTTAACTATTGAATTCATTATTTATGTATTATCAAGTTTACAAAATCGGCTTGAAGCCAACAACAAGCACAAAGAAACTTTTCTAAAGTTTTTCTACTTAAACTTTGATAAAATAATTACAGAGGAAGACAGCGCATACTCGAAAAAAGAGGCTACTGACAAGAAAAAAACTTCAAAAAATCAAGAAAAAAAAGCATTTACAATTTTCAGATAAGGGCAGGTTAAAGTGACGTCATAGCAACGCCCGCCGATTTGGGATGTAAAGAACAGAATTCGTTAAAAAATCGATGACTTTGTTAAATTCAACCAGAAATTGTTGTAAGTGACAGAGTGTGTTCTATTCTAATGTCGTGTAAATTGGAAATTAAGATCCTACTAACGATAAAAATCTAATTTTTAAGGTAAACGCACTTGCACTTCAAGCACGTTACACTAAAAGAGGTAATTCTTCGCCAAAAGGTAGCTAATATGAAGTG